AACCAACCGTACTCTACTCTGCCTCTAAAGATGGCGTTGTCCACGAGCAATCCGGTTACTATAGGTGATCATCGCCTTTATTCCAATTACTGAAATTATTTTTCGCCAAAATAATCCTTTTCTTACAAGTCAATTTGCTCCCCTCTCAAGCTTGTTATGCGCGAAATTCTGACCGCTTGCAGAGTCAATTTTTGTTTGAAGTCGGATGAATAAGCGCTAATTTGTTGGTTCTCAAAAAAGATAACAAATGAAACTTCAGCTCAAGCGAAATCATTCTGTTTTAACCGTTATCCTAATTAGTCGCTTGTTTGCTCATTCACTGCACGAAGTTGATTCCTTCGCACAACCCCTCAGCAATTTTGCACATCACAAACAAATGAAGTATTAAATAGGATCGTCAATAAATTCAAATGCATCTTTCAGTTTGGCGATAATTTATGCCTTCGCAATGGCTGCGAATTTGGTGGTGGCACCAATAATTGATTTTATTGGTGCCAAATGGTCAATGGTCCTCGGTGGACTCACATACACGTTATTCCAAGTGGGAATGTTATTTCTGAACGAACCGTATTTGTACTTCTCATCCGCGTTACTCGGTGTTGGATCTGCATGTTAGTTGATCGCACTGTTCCGATCGATTATCCACAGCCATAGCTTTTGTAATAACGTTTTGATTGCTGGCAGACTCAATTTTCTTTCTGCAGTCCAACTTATCGGACTATTATTGCATTAAAAACGGAATGAGTCAGAAATGCTCGTGCTTTGAATCATTCTTATTGAACATCGCATCCTTGATGATTTGGATCATCTTATAGTTAGTTGCTTGATAAGAAGAACAATTGAAATAAATTCAGCAACAAAAGGATTACTTCACATCATCTCTTGTATATCCTATTATTGAGACTCACGTATACTTCATAGACGAAATTTGTGAGAAGAATATATCGACTATTTTCATATGAAACAAGTTCGAAATAATGAAATTTTACAGTTATTTGGACGGGTCAAGGAAAATACCTCACAATGAATTCCACAAAAGAAACCGCACCTCGTAATAGTGGCTTATTATGGGGACTTTTGCAGTCGTCGTAAGTGCTATTAGGTTTTTTAATTTGAGTATGCAGAGACTGGAGAATATGTGCAGTTTTTATCTGTTTGCTTGTAATATATCAGTTGTTTGCAAATTCTCGTGTGGTAAATTGAGGGTTTGACTGAAATCACCGAGGAATACATTGATGAAATTGAATAAGCATTTCAAGATAACCATCAGAAAACGAACAGTAATAAAGACGAATGCAAACAACATTCAGGTTGCTTGGTGGAGGTATATTTCTGTTTGGAATATTCAGTGGAATGAAACAAGAAACAATAAACACTGAAACGAGGATGATTATTTATGGCGTCTTTGCGGGCGTTAGTTTGGTTGGCAATCTACTACATCTCATCCTACCGACAAAAGGACTTATTGACGAACAGGCGGATGACCGACAGCAGATGTCGCAGTGGCGATTGTTGTGTGAGTGAATTACTGATACTGTNCAACTAGTGTTATTGTTTAAAGTGTTATGATTTTACGATTAGAATCGAGGATAGGATACTGGTGTGTGAAACTATTAAGCTTGTCCTTTACTCTAAATCATATTCATAAAATCATATATTCAATTGTCACTACTTAAATCAGCTTTAAATGATTTAAAAACAAAGGAGACGGGCAAAAAAAACTATTGAAAAAGAATTTCAGCATCAGCTTTTCGATTGTTTTTCACAGTCAATATGCTGTTGATATCAATAACATCCGCATATACTGGTTTAGAATTGAGTTTTTGGTCGAGTGTTTATTCAACTTCAATTTCATATACGAAAGTGTTCACGTATGACACACACAAACTGATTGCTATCAATGCAATTTGCGAGGGAATTGGACAAATTATCGGTTAACTTTTAGTTGACTTTTTTTTATTCAGTCAGCTTTTTCTCACCTCATTTGAATCAATGTGGTACTTCAACGACTACCGAACGACTAAGAATAGGTCAATGAGAGCGTTCAGAACAAAAAAATGGCAATACGGAAAAAATGATCGTGCATAGTGGAACGAGCAATTCTTAAGTGGATCAGTATGGAGACTACTCATTCATTCATTGCGATGAGCAATAAATGTGAGAAGGCGAATATAGAACTGCTAATCGTAACAGCTGTGATANATACCACTCAGTGTTATTGTACAATAGAAACAACTTTCAGGGGGAGCTTGTTTTGGCTTAATGGGCGATAAGTTTCGTCGATTCGGTCGTATACCGATAATTTTAGTTGGCTTTGTGACACACATAATTTGTTTCATTTTGACATACATCAACTTTCCGCCTACGTCGAATATCGCCGAGACTTACGAAAGTGCAATTATCCAACCGAAGTTAGTGATTTTTGTTGATGATTGCTATTATGTCTGGTCATAAGCATAAATGTGATTGTGGATGTCGAAGTGAACAACACAATCGCATTTCATTCACGAATTATAGGAAATACGAGAAGAAAAACAATAAAGATAATGAGCGATAAATAACTTTCAGCATAGCTCTCGCACTGGTGGTGGGTGGGTTATTGGGTTTCGGTGACGCGTGTTGGAACACTCAACTTTACTCGATCCTAATTGATGTTTACCACGATCAAGCAGCTCAAGGATTCTCAATTATGAAATTCATTCAGGTCAACACTTTCATTCCCAACTTATAACCAACCGATTCAGAATGTATTTTGCCGTCACATCAGCAGTTGAACGCCCTCAATGCTCACCGCAATCGGGTTATAACTGATTGCTGATAGCAACTTCTCAGATAACTTGAGCATCAATCACACTGTTGCTCATCTCAATAAGCAAACAAAAAATCCGTCCAAATATGCAGCAAGATAAATTGCTTGTTGTTTTATTTGCACTGAAAACATTACTGTCATGAACAAGTGATATCACTACGAGCATAACTTTCACTCAACACATCATCTTAACAACACTAGTGACGGCAACAATATTATTAATAGTAGTGATAACAATGAATATAATAACTGGATATAGCGACATCATACATACATATGTACACCATGTAATACGAAATCTACTGGCAGAATTGAAATGAATGATTTTCAGGCCGCGTTTGCGTGTGCATCATTCTTCTATACACCGTCGACACGTCTACCGATAATTCTATTGATATTAGTCATATTTTTAGTCTTATCAACGGTATCTTTCATCTATGTTGAAAACGTAACATCACATCACCTCAATAAAACTAAAACAAAAAGCAAGACGAATGAAATCGAAGTGAGTCAACTCGAAGATGACGCAACCACAAATACAAATGATACAAATCGGATGCACAACGATTCTGCTACAGATACTTAATTTGTTGATGCCTTACTTAATCTGCACTGAACGGCATTCCTCTCATTGCTTATTTGCTCATTCATTTGTGTGACTGTCATTGTCAACGTGAAGAATCAGTTCAGAAAAAAGTATTGTACTCACAATTAAAGTGTTTTGTAGGTGGATAAATGATTGTACTCACAAAAATAGTGCTCAGTTAATGTGACGACGACTGACAACTGCGTTTCAGCCGCATTCATAGTGGACGAGTTCTCTGATAAGAACGAGCAAACATGAAAAACCTTCGTGATCAATGTGCTAGAGAAACTTGCATTCACAACACAAAAGTGAATAAATACTGATTGATCTGGTCAACGGAAAATATGCTGGAACTTTCGACAAAATAAACACCAACTGCCTTCGCAATGGCATAATACACCGATTACAATCAAACTATAAAAGTCATTGAACATCGTGATTGTAGGTTAGAAAATATTCTCGTGATAATGATAATCGCACTCATATACATATACATATAAACCAGTGGTTGTTGCGCTTTTG